CCCTGTAGTCTCGATACTGACAGTATGCACAGACGCCCTGTAGTCTCGATTCTGACAGTATACATCGACGCTATGTAGTCTCGATACTGACAATACACATAGACGCCCTGTAGTCTCGATACTGACAGTACACATTGACGCCCTGTAGTCTCGATACTGACAGTATACATCGACGCCCTGTAGTCTCGATACCGACAGTATCGTTAAATTACCAGCTTAAAAATTAACTTATATAATTAAGATTTTTTCAGGACATTGTAATAAACATTTCATGGTTGTTTTTTGCACTTTGCCCATTGTTTCTGTTTATATATAAAACAGAGCGCGTCTGAGAAACTGGCTGCTGACCACATGAACAGAGAAAAAGGCTACCTGGGTGGCGCTGCGGTAGAGGGCAGAAACATTTGGAATATCTTTACAGCCTGTTCACCTGATGATGGCGACAGAGCCAAATTCTCGAACCTGGTCCCTTTTACAGAAGGAATTGCAACAACAGACAAAATGCAAACAATTAGTCTTAACCCCCTTAACGTTATTGTTCAATTTTTTCCGGTCTTCCTAGTCTCTGTTTCCGACAGAAATTCCGTACGGATTTTTGTCTCCCCTGTGGGAGCAATACCTAGGAAGCTGACTGTCCCTGCGTGCGGAACGCTTGTGTGTAGGCGAACTGGTGTGGCAAGGCGGGGAGTTGCACGGACTAGTTCCTGAACAGCGGCGGCTCCAGCAGTTCTGGGTTCGACTCCCCAAGAAGCGATGGAATAATTTTCACCAGGACCACCTAAGTTCCCCATGCGGAGGGAACCAGGGTACAGCGGATGGAACGCGAAACTGACCATTCACCTCCATCTAGCGAACGAGCGAAGTATTACTGTATTGGATATACGGATGACCTCAAGCGGCCTGCGCACACATGGCCCCTGCCAGCGCGCCACAATATTTGCTCACAGATTTACAAACGTCTACGATGTATATGGCTATTTCGGCTGATAGCGTTTTGGATAGACGACCATTTTTAAAATAATTTTCATTTTTTTCATTTGTATTTGGAATATTTGTCTCTGTTCTCTAGTTTCATTTTTGTCCAAAAATTCAGAGTGGATGGGCTGATGCCCTTCACACAGCCCATATTATACAGAGGTCCGCCTTACCGTTTACATCTAAACACTCGACAGCCGGTGGGTGGGTAATTAAAATATGTTTCGTTTGTTTCACGAACGCACACATAAATATTGGTACTGCCTGATATGTGGTTAAGGCACTATGCTACATGTCGGAAGGTAGCGGGTTCAAATACCGATGAGTGCATTGGATTTTTTTCAATTGACCTAATCCTTCCGGCCGCACTATGGCCCTGGGGTTCACTCAGCCTCTAACAAAAATGAGTACCAGGAATTAAATAAATAATTTTCCTGGGGAGTGAAGCGCGGCCGGCGCGTAAGGCTGACAACCTTACCGCCATCTTTGAGCCGATTGTCTAGAATCTAGACAATCGGCTCCCACATTATCTAGACTCTAGATAATGTGGGACCCTCAACGTCTCACAACCCTACGGGCCTTCACGGCCTGTTACAGGGATAGCTTTACTTTTTACTTTTTTACTGCCTGATATATACATATAAGCACTCTAAATGTATGTCTAGTATTTACTTTTCATACGTTTTATTTAACAACGCTGCGGGTAGCTCAGATCATATAGCGTAGAATGGCAGGATTAGTGTAAAATGAATTGGAATGGATGGAAAAGTGAGCAGTGGTGGTCAAATTCGAGGAACAATCCAGGAATTTCGCTGGAGGGAATAAGAACCACGAGAAATCTCAGAATATTCGGTGACTTTCTCACCCACCTTGTTCGGCGTATGTGTATGCATGCATAACGCATGTGTATGTACACACGTATGTATGTATATATACCCACGTAACGAATGAAGTTTCAACCCAAATGCCATGTCTAACTGGCCGATAACGTACTCTCTTGCTCTTACCGATCTCCCATACAGAATTCAACGGAGTATGAACAGAATGAGGGGGCAAGCGGTAGTGTTGTTGGTTCAGACATTATGCTATATGCCGGAATGTCGCGGGTTCGAGTCCCAATGAGGTCACTGCATTTTTCGATCGACCTAATCCTTCCAGCCGCACAATGGCCCTGGGGTCGACTCAGCCTCTAACATAAATGAGTACCAGGAATCTTCCTGGGGGTAAAGGGTATCCGGAGCGCGAGGCTGACCTCACCGCCGTCTGAGTCGATTGCCTACAAAACATGGAAGCTTCGATGTCTCACAACCATATAGGCCTCCGCAGAGATAGTTTTACCTTTTTATGACCAGAATGAAATCGGACTGACACACACATACACGACTTGCATCCTACGTAAAGATCGCCCCAGTGGTCAGAATGGCAAAACATACCAATTATACATAATACTATGGTCAATCTACAAATCACTCAACTGCACCACAGCCATGCAAAACACAACACGAATAAAAAGAGTGTGCCTTACCCTGAACCACGTGGCCACCTAGGGGAGAAGCGAACACAAAACACAGCATTAGAACATAAACACAAATATATATGGCTGATCGCTACCGTGCAATGCCAGCCCAACCCAGTCCACAACCAATTTTAACTTTTTCAGGCACAACGGTAATTATATGTACCATATGCTATAACATTAAGAAGCTCTGCATGTTGCCCGGTACTGTATTTATGCGTTTCGTGCGATTCTCACAACAAACAGCGATTATTTCCCTAACATCATTAACCGATCGGTCTTTGTTATAGATACGCAGAATATTTCATGTGAGATATAATCTAACTTTTTACATATGATTTAGATGAACTTCATGCTTCCATAATAAGTGTATTACTCAAATTAACACTAGGTCTGTGGATTGCAGCTAAATTTTAACCTGCCAACGGTCAGATCAATCCAAGCATCAATTAACCTTAACATTGTCCTCTAGTCTATAAATTCGTACTGTAAGTAATGTTAAGTACCAAGAAGTGTTTGTGTCGCCGTGAAGATTGAATTGATTATCCTGTTCAAATGTTTATAAAACATTCTAATTAATTTGAATTGAGGTTTCTCTCGACACGAGGGCAATATAGCGAAACAACTTAACGACATACGATATACCTGACGATGTCCACGTACGGCCAAAACATTATATTAATAAAGAGAACAAGTGAATTAAGTATGTTTGGCAATAGCCGCGCCACCATTGAAATATAATGTAGGTTGCACTAGCATGACTGTAGTAGCTAAGTATTGTAAAATTATTCACTGATGTGTAGAGAAACGGGCGATGGGAAAGTATACATAGTGCTTATCTTTTTACCGACTAACCTTTCAGCAGTGGCTAAACGACGTCACGTGCACGTTTCATATAATTGCTTTTATTTTTTAGAAAAAAAAAATTCATGTATATACAAAAATGGCCCAGGCAATGCCCGTCGGGCTCTCTGTACCATTCTTATAAACATCTTGTTCTATCGAAGCTGTCACATCGCGACATCTTTTGTGAAGAACTGGAAGTAACTCTCCTAAACGCCTCTACGTGTCGCTAGTATACAATTTCGCAATCCGTGCCTCGTCAATAGCACTAAGATGACTGTCTTTATTCTGCAATCCGTGATGAGGACTGCAGCGTAAGAGGGTTAACTTTACCACAACAAAAGCTTTCCTTAGGGTTGTACACCTGGCAAATGGCAATAACTGGTAGTTTCTGAAGGGGAGAAAAAAGTCATCAACCCGATAGTGCACATGCGATATTCATACCCTACGCATGCGCGGTTTGAAACTGTGTGCAAACTAAGCGGCGTCACACCGGCGATGTGCGACACGAAGCGACAAACTACAGCAGAAGTGAAGTTGGCCCTAAACAGATGACATTCGATTGCTTCCACTGGCCAAGACGTTCTGGTTTCGGCGACAGTTACCTTAGGCAAGGCGGCCAGGCACTGCTGCTTGACGTCCCAGACCAACTGATCTCGCGGGAACTGGAGGCACTTCTGCACGTTCAGCTCCGGGACGTGAATCCTGACCAGCAGGTAGCCCTCCTCGGGGGGAAGAGACGAGGAGCCCCCCGCGTCCTCCTCCATCTACAACACAACAATGTCATAAAGTGAAACAGAAATAGCCACTTTTCGCAGGCAGTAAATATTGCATAGCGCAACAAATTTTCACTTTGTTTGACTTTATTTGTGATAAAAGCTGCTTGTTACCAAACAGAGTACAAAACGACTATTAAACGTTGTAACACAAGATTTTTTTGTCCTATATTATTCTGTACGCAAGACACGAACACACATATCGCTTTTTGAGCAATCTGAAATAAGAAAGTTCTTCAAATGAGAACAAACTTTTATTCATTAATAAAACTGAATTCTGTCGTTGAGTAAGAATATGTGAACCAAATCCATGGAGCTGAGCCCTTCTTGAGAGTTGCGCAACTACTCAAGAATTTCTCAACATTTTATGAACCTTGAGGTTCATTACCGTGTTCATGAGAGCCCTCCATTCGTACTTATCCTCAGCCAGATCAATCCAAACCAATCCATACCATCCTCTCTCTCTCTCTCTCTAAGATCCATTTTAATATTACTCTCCCACCTACGTCCAGGTCTTCCTAGTGGTCTCTTTCCTTCTGGTTTTCCCACTAAAATTTTACATGCATTCCTCTTCTCCCCCATTCGTGTTACATGTCCTGCCATCTCAAACTCTTTGACTCCATTATTCTAATTATACTCGGAGAAAAGTACAAATTATGAAGCTCCTCAATATGCAGTTTTCTCCAACCTCCTGTCATTTCATGCCTCTTCGGTACAAATATTCTCATCAGAACCTTGTTCCTAACCACCCTTCCTCAGTCTATGTTCCTTGATGTCAGACACCAAGTTTCACGCCCATACAAAACCAATGACAAAGTTATAGTGTTGCATATTTTAATTTTTACGGTTCTAGAAAGCAGACGAGAAGAGAAAAACGTTCTGGGCTGAATGGCAGCAAGCATTACCCGAATTCAGCCTCCTCTTAATTTCTTCCTGAATCAAATTCTGATTTCTTGCCGTCGTTCCCAAATATTTTAAAATTGCCCTATTTTCGTCGGATCTATTAAAGAAGTTTATGTTACGATTTTGCCCTGAATTCCGGTGACGAGAGAGCAACATGTAAGAGTTCTTAGTAAGATTAAAAGAACACTGTGGGGGAAAGTACCAAAACGAAACAGAACCGAAATGCCGTTTTAGGCCAAGATTCAATACACGGCAGAACTGCGACGTATTGCAGAAATTCTGTGTCCAGACGCGAGTCTTTCTGCCTAGCTAGAGGTTTCAGTCTGTGGGAAAAAATGTATGTGCAAGTGTCCAGGATCCCACGGTGGCGAACAAGTGACGGTCTTCTGGAATGTGATGCCATGTAGTCTGGTAGGCACACACGCCTACCGACGTTTCAGAGGAACTTGGTGCCCTTCTACTGGGAGGAACGATGCCGCAGGTTTAAGTGAGGTAAGGGGCGCAAACAACAATGAAAACAAGTAACAAAGAGCGGTAAGGGGTAAAAACAACAGATCTGTTACGTGTTTTCATTCTGTTGCCAGTTCAACACGCCAGGGATCCCATTCGGTCACATTCGATCCACTGAAGTGATCAACATGGCGTGCCCTTACAGCGCTTCTTACTGATAGGGTAAAATCAGTTGCATTATTATTATTATTATTATTATTATTATTATTATTGTTGCTGTTGTTATTATTATTACTATTATTATTATTGTTATTGTTATTATTATTATTGGAGGGGGTGGGTTTCTCCATGCACCGCGACCAGTGGTCTACTGTACGTCCCCCTGTGATAATCTACCAGTCTTTATACCATACCGATACTGGTGCGTACCATCAGTCCCGACTCAGCCAGCGAGTTCGGCCTCTACTGGCTCAGCGGTATCTAGATGCTTCCCCCATCTACCAGAGGCGTTAGAGACTACTGTTGGGCGGGGAATGTCCTTAATAATTTGGTTCAGAGGCCTCCTTGAGGCATGAGGTTCTTTTACGTGCCGTAAAGCTACGACACGGGACCCACGGCTTAAAGTCCCTCCCGGAGGACTTGTTCCCTGAATTTTTCCGCCTTTAAAAATTCCACGACCTCCGCCGGGTTTGAACCCGCGTACCTTGAGTCATGAGGTGGGAACGTTACCCCTAGACTACGGAGGCCGCTTAAATCAGTTGCATTTATAATCAATTTAGTACAATTAACTCTAATAGCTACGGTTAAACTTCCTGTGTCACCATCGAAGTGTCGGGTCAGAGACGAGGATGTGATAACGCGCTGCCTGTCACTGATATCCCACATACCTGGGGGAGCTGACATATGAGTATGGAACAATTCAACGAAAAAAAAAGGATACACTGTACGATAAATATGCTCTAGTGTCATGCCGTCACATGAAGTCACTCAGGATGTATCCAGTTTGGTGGTGTTCTATTCCTGTATCCCAGGACAACAGCAGGTTAGCTCAGCACTCCCACTATCACTGTAGTGAAGTGCTGACAGGAAGGAGCTCGTTACAGATCGGGTGGGAAACTCGTCAGGCTGTCACTGTGAACGCACCCGAAGGTTTCTTTATTCGCTTACGGCCCACGGCCTTGCTCCTGACGGAAGCTCAGTTTGGTGCCACCTTCTGCAGCATTGCCCACACCATGTATTTATGTGTCTCGTGTGATTCTCACAATAAACAGCGTCAGTGGTGATGTCTCTGCGTCCAGAGTGAGCATCTTAATGAAATGCGAGCTGCTACTGTGTCTTCGCGTGATGCCAAACGAAGAGCGCAGGTGTGAGAATGCTGGCGTCCCGACGCTAGAATCAATACAACAATCTTGGGACGACTGAATGGATTAAAATATCAGTGAAACTTCTCTCGGTTTTTCGGACTCCCGACACACAATTCCCTTCAACAGGCCACGACAGTTCACAACTGACACCTTCCCAAGCACAAAAACCAGTGACCGATATTGAGTTATGTGGATGTTTACAAATATCACGGATACGCAAGTTCAATACCAGAAAAGTACGCCTGAGAGTCATTCCTTATTCTGTGTTCTGTCAAACTGTCACACCAACAAAGCTCCATGACGACCTGTGACAGGTCAGATCGGCCACAACAGTGTTACTTGAATTGAATGAATTCTAAACAGACAACTTTAATTTCTCTGACACATAAAAAAAGGAAACAATATATCTCTGTAACAGGCCGTGGAGGCCGACAGGGTTGTGAGGCGTCGAGCCTCCCACAGCTTCTAGACAATCGACTCACAGATGGCGGTGAGGTTTTCAGTCTTACACGCGGGCAGCCATTTACCACCAGGAAGATTCCTGGTGTTCATTTCTCTTAGAAGCTGAGTCGACACTAGGGCGACAGTGCGGCTGGATGAATTAGATCAACTGAAAAATCCAATGACCTCGCCGGGAATCGAACCTGCGACCTTCCGGTTTGAAGCACAGTGCCTCAATAAACTATCCTCTAGCATATCCATAAGGGAAAACTTGAAAAATTGGACCACACGTCCACCTCCAGAAACAGAAGGGATTTTCACCAAATCTGATACCGCGCATGTCTACATAAATTTGCTAACATATTCCAAATTTTGTTGAAAACGAAAAATAACTGACACTCGCTGTAAAATCTTTGCGTGAAGGTCTGCAGGCGTTTCTACGCGTATACGTAGTGTATCTCGCTAAATATTCACAGAAGCAAAAGGCGTACATAAAAACTAAACATTTTTTTTATACAAATTTTGTGAGTCTTAAGGCTCGAACACATCAGAACGGAATGCATACATTTCCTAACTTGTTTCTTCAAACCACAATTGTAGGGCTGGGGTCCTTGTAACTTCACCACGCATCTTACACACTGCTCTGACGTTCTCTATGAACTCCATGACGCAGTGTCCTTACTGATAAGCAGTCACTCGGCTGGTCAAGACATTTCTCTCCCTTCAAGAAGCTGGAAGGTTCATTGCCGTGTTCACAGGCGTGCCCCAAAGGCTCCTATGCTCAATCTTTTAAGCCCAGTCCACAGACATGTATCATTATTCATTTAACATATATTTTAATATTATTCTCCCATCTACGTCTAGGTCTTCCAAGACGTTTCTTACATTCAGGTATTTTGACTCCCCGATGCGGCCCATCTCGTCATCCTTTGTTTGATTATACTTACAATATTCGCTGCAGAGTACAAACTGCGAAGCCCCTCATTAGGAAAGTTTCTCAACTCCCTTGTTAAGTGCATGCTCCTCCCGTAGGATGAGGGATCAAGTTTCATACCCATACAAATTCATTCATTCATCAGTAATCTGTCAGACGACAGGTCCACAGTCTCTTCCAAAACAGTTCCTCCACTTAATGCGATCTAGAGCTTTCTCCTTCAAATACAAAAGACGGGTCAAATTATAGTTCTGTGTATTTTAATATCTACGTTTGCAGACAGCAGGGGCACGTAGTAGCGTAGGTGGTTGAGGCACTAAGCTACAAGCCGGAAGGTGGCGGGTTTGTTTCCCGGTGAGGTCACTGGATTTTTCAATTTACCTAATCCTTCCAGCCGCACTAAGGCCCTGGGGTCGATTCAGCCCCTAATAGAAATAAATACTAGGAATATTCCTGGGGGTAAAGGGCGGCCGGCGTGTAAAGCTGACCTCACCGTAATCTGTGAGCCAACTGTCTAGAAAATGTGGTAGCCTCGATGTCTCACAAGCCTGTGGGCCTCCACGGCCTGTTACAGTAATGGCATTAACTTTTTTTTTTAATATTCTTCTATGGTTACCTCATTTAGGTGGTGGTGGTGGTATGTGGAGGAGGGGGCTAGTCTGTGGGCCAGTGCCCGCTCAAGTCACCCCCTCCAACAGGGGATGACCAGTGGTAGTCAGACCCGTCCTATCGTCGGAGTCCCCATATTCAAACACGTAGAATGTTTGAAAGAACAAATATATGGTCATGGGGCCCCAACGGGACCCGAAACAAAGACTGGCTGTGGTGCCGAGGCCTAGCAGCAATGTACCCGACCGACCGCTCCTGCGTCACAAGTTTATGAGTTTTTAGTATGTACG